CTGTATGTACGTATGTCTTCAATCGTTAATGAATAAAACATTTAACATCAGCAATGAAACATTGAAAACATTGAAAATTTATCAGATTTTGCACGAAATAAATGATGATGATGACATTTACCAAAGGTAAAGCAAAGTAAAAAGCTTTCGTAATGTCAACTTTCGTAATGGTATCATCTCTAACGTTGATCATTTTTGTTTTTGTTGTTGTTGTTGTCCATAATGTTGTTGTTGTTTTTTGTAACCAAAAATAAATAAAAAATGACCAGTGGCCATCATCATCATCGTTTTCAAGGTAAAGGTGGAGAAAACATTCATTTTTTAAAAATGGCCAGGTGTGTTTGTGTGAAAACATAAATATCCCTGTTTGAAACAACCATTGAATTTTATTCACACCACTTTTACCAGGCTGGAAAAGTGGATTTTTTGACAAAAAAACCACCGACCACCACCAACCTAACACCACCAAACAAAAAACATTCTATGAAAACAAACAACAGCAGCAGCAGAGAAAAAAATTCATCATCATCACCACTGTGTTGATGACATAAACACGATATTAGTTTTTTTTTGGTTACCATACTAAAAAAAGAACAACAACAACAACAAAGTGCTTCCAGAATCCAAAGAATCCAACAGAAAAAAGTCCATTATTTTTTTTTTTGGCCAGGACAAGATGAAAATAGTCAGAAGAAAAAAAAAACAAATATCTGACATTGACACACAACAGCCAGAATCTTTTTTGTTTTGTTTTTTTCGGTTGGGACAATCGCCTGGACATGATTCTTTTCATTGTTGTTCTTGCGTTGATTTTATCCTTTCGTTCCAAGCGAAAAAAAAAGAAAAAAAAAGAAATCCCATATAACTTACGAAACCAGACATAAATCAATGACAAAAAGATGTTTTTTGCTTGCTGGCTTTTCAGTTCTTTTTTCTTTTTTCTTGATTCAAATTCAAATTCGGTTAACTAAACATATTTGTATAATTAGCTTTATAATCATCATCATCATCATCATCATTAACATGTAATGTAACGGAATCAACAAGAAAAAAAAAGGATTAAATTGATCGATTGATTTCATTCATTCATTTTCATTGGTATTTTTTTGTTTACCGAAAAAACAAAATAATGATGATTAACGATGATGATTGAATAATAAAATGTTGTTTAATTTGATGATAAGGTGATTTCTAAGAATTTTTCATTTATTAATTTAGCGAAAAAAAAAGAAATTCTTAAGATTGGGAAATTTTCTCGGGAAAGAATTTTCCGTGGAAAGATTCCGAAGAAGAATCTGAACTTTTCAAACAATGATGATTGTAATCATGATAAGAATATTATTATGGAAACATCATCATCATATAACATGAATTATGTAGTGATTTTTATCACTATCAAACAGCAAACAAACAACAACAACAACAAAATTTTTTTCACAATTTAATAGTGATATAATGGAAAAATCAAGCCATCATCATCATCATCATCATTACAATTCAATTTTACAAATTCTACAAGCAAAAGCAAGAATTCGTGATCTTTTCTCAAATGATTTTTGCACACACACATATAAATTCATCACATACACAAATGAAACAAACACACAAAAACGCAAATCTTGAAACAAATTATCATTTCATTTAAACGAAAAAAAAATTGTTATGAAAATTTTTATTTTTCCAACAACGAAATTAAATTCCACAAAAGAAAGAAATGGGAAAAAGAGAAGTGGGAGAGAGAGAGAGAGAAACTTTTCCGGAAAACTCAATCACAAAAGATGATCAACAAAAAAAGAAAAACTTTTCCAAAATTTTTTTCCTTTGAAGAATTTCATTGAAAAAAGTTTTTATTTTTTTGTTTTTGTTTCCTACATTAATATTAATAATAATAGCTATTATTATTTATTATTTTCAACCAAATCAGATTATAAAATCAGATTACATTATCATTGTTGTTGTTGTTGTTTGAAATGTAAATCAGCTTATTTACTTTTGGAAAGAAAAGGGTTAAATAACAAAAACAACTGAAAATCAATAGATTTTTTTTCGGTCATTTTGGTTTTGTTTGAAAAAAAGTTTTTCTTTGTCTTTTTCCTTTTAAGAATTTTGATTATTTTCATTGTTCAAATGGAGTGGAAATAGAAACAAAACAAAAGAGAGAAGAGAAAAAGAATCTTATCTTTCAAAAAGTAAAAAAGTTGATTGAAAAGAATAATCAAACGAAGAAAAGGAAACAAACGATTTGCGTTTCAAAAGAGGTGAAAAAGAAATGAGAAAAAACTTTGAACTTTGGTGTTTGGTCAAACGAAACAATTTGATAACATGTTTCCGGAAATATTTCCGGAATCAAAAAACAACCGAGAAAAAAATATGGAAAATATGAAACATAAGTAACTAAGTAAACATTTTTTTTACATTCAAGAAATTTACTTAAGTAAATGATGTTGATGAAATGAAAAAAACTCAACGAGATAATGATTAAGACGACGATGATAATCAAATTGTAATTTGCTTTTTTTTTTCTCGTATCAAAATGCACATAACTGACTTATGATTTTTCAATCAACAAAAGCAAAATGGGATAAAGAATGGTGTGAAGAAAACAGAAAACATCATCATCATCAAGATGAACCCGAGAATATTCATCATCATGATGATGAATAATGAAATAAAGTGAATCAAATGGAAATTATCTTTGAGTTTTTTTTCGTTGGGAAAGATGTCATTGGTTTTTCTTCGTTATAATTATTCTTTGTAATGAAAATTGATTTTATAAAAAAATTTTTGTATTTATTTGTTTAAAAATAATAAACATTTTTATAAAACATTAAAATTAATGGTATATTTAAAAGAATTAATTCAATAAATTTAAAACGATTAATATGAAAAAATTGTCCACAAGTAAAACCAATTCGATTATTAATTATCATCTGTATGAATAGATTGATTTTTAATGATTTTTGCCATAATAGATTTTTAAATTGATTATTTGGAAATTTAATTATCGATGAATATGGATTTATTTGTTGTGATGAATTATATTGTGATCTGGCTAACCATTTTAATATTGATCGACAACAATGATCATTATATGTTGGTATAATTGCTATATATGTATATAATGCATTAATACAAAAATAAAAATTAAAAAAACCAATATTAATCACTGCATTTGTAGAATTATAATTTCTACATAAT